AGCGTCTTGCGTGACGGGGAAAGAGTGGAAAAAGAAAGAGATTCATCAGCTATGGAATCTAACAGGTATCGGTATTGAACAGAGGGGGCTGTTCACAAAGCATCCCATGGATGGTAATGGTGCTTCCCCAGCTGCTGTTCCTACTCCTTTGGCTGGTGCCAAATCAGGTGACTTTGAAGTTGAAGCTTGCCCGCAGAATGATGTAACCATGCTGGTAGTACTATGATTGCCTTAGAGCGCAGATGTCTCTGTCCCTAGGAACATGATGCTTAGGTGCGAGGTGAAACACAAGCAGGAGATTGAGAAAAGAAATCATACGTATTGCAATCTACAGATGAAGAATCTGCTTCATTGTTCCCACCATCTATATCAGATGTTTAATAAGAATAGGAATTGAATAAGCTGCTGATTGACCGAGGAAGCATTTGAAAAGAAAGGAAGGGTGATGCTTGTTAAACAAAGCTGCGTGTGGGGCCACCACGTATAGCTGTAGTTTCTGCTGTAGCATCGGTTATTTCCGTTATTGCTGTAGTAGCATCGGTTATTGCTCAGGTTACGAATGACCCAATCTATCTATGGCAACCACCCCTACTTTTAGTAGATGGAGATGCGCACCTAGAAAAGATGGATGAAAGAGAACCTGCCCTTCTGACTTCTTCTCTTGTCTGTCCTTTACGCAAAGCGATCTATGGTCTCAACAAGCCCCGATAGCGTCGGTTTTTGAAGTTCAGCACAGTGGTTATGTTATCCAGGCAGGGTCTGCTCGGAGTGATCATGATTCGGCCATGTTCGTATCAGTTTATCCTCGAGGACGTGCTATTCTGTTGTTGTATGTTGATGATATCAAACTGACTGGTGATTACTCCGTTACCATATCGCTGATCAAGTGTCGCCTTCATCAATTATTTGCTATGAAGGTGCTGACGCGCCCTAAGCCTTTTCTTGGCTTGGAGGTCGCACATTCTCCTCGTGAATATTTGGTATCTCAGATCAAATAACGTCATGACTTGATCACTCGAGCTCAACTCAATGATGAGAAGACTGTTGACACTCCCTTGAAGCTTTACGTTAAACTCCGTCCGACTGATGGCTCACCATTATCTGATCCGACGCAGTACAGACAGTAGGTCGGCAGTTTGCTTTATCTGACGATCTCTTGCCCAGATGGCTTTTCCTAAGAAAGTCAGCCTTTCATGGCTGCCCCCGGTCAGTTCACTTGGCAGCAGTTCATTGGATTCTTAGATATATTTGAGGTACCTTTCCTCGAGCCATCCTTTTTTCCGTCATCGTCTTCTTTAGAGTTGCGTGCAACTACTGATGCCGATTGGGCCTTCAGATAGGTGCTCAACTACAGGCTTATCTATTTTATGGGGAGACGAGAAACTATCTTGGATGAGATAAAAGCAATAGACAGTTGCTCCTTCCACTACCGAAGCGGAGTACCGTGCCATGGCACACTACTAGATAGATTGTATGGCTCCGTTGGTGACTTTTTGATCGCAGTTTCATTTGAAAAACCCCAACGCCTTTCATCTTTCGTCAAATCCGGTATTTCATGCAAGAGTTTCATTTTTGGCCGCTACTATGTTCGTCGAAAACTTCTTGATGGCACCATCATCTCATTACCTTATTTTTTCCCTTCGACTTCGGCTATGACCAATGCCCCACCTAGCTGAATAGGCGTAACAAAGCTACCTGAAAAAGGCAAGGTGCACCTTAGATTGAAATCGACAAATTGCATTTTGCCAGATGGATTCTTTAGAAAGATTCCCGGATAAAGTTTAGTATAATATTTAGTTATAATCTAAATAAAGGCGCATACGTGGGCGGGCAGGGGGCCCCACTACTTCTTCATTCAGGGGGGGCTAGCCTCATGACTTCCCACTGGGCGAGGGGTGCACCTAACCCACCTACTCACTCATCAATTACGGTGTTCAGCTGACTTGCACAGAAAGACCCCTATTGTTTAGTAATTTGGCGCCCATCTTTTGATTGACTGTTGTCAACTAATCTTTTCAATGTTCAATTCTACTCTATGTTAGAACATTTCTGTGAATGCTATTTTGATCTAAGCGGTCCTATTCTCTGTCCCGTGCTAGGAAGCATTACTCCTCTTTTCATTCCAAATTCTTCAATAAGACCGATACGATTGATTGGTCTGTGCGTTTCTCTTATTACTTTTTTGTATCCCCCTATTCCTCGGATACAATTCGATCCTATTTCACATAAATAATAAGTAGAAATGGACAAACGAGTGTGGCTACACAGAGTGAGGAAAAAAACATGGTGGTACCAGCATTGCGTATCACTCACTATGCTTTATGTAACATGGCTTAAGCAATGGTAAAATGGGAGTCCTGAGCAAAGCACATCTGATCGATATGAATGAAAGATACATCCGTCTTTTCTTCTCCTTCGAAGGTTAGGTATCTGCTCGTTAGTTCAGCGCCGCATAAATACTTACTTTAAAAGGGGCGACTCCCGCCTGTGCTTAAGTTGTTTCAAGCTTGTAAAGACTCGCGATCGGAAGATTGACCTGGTTTTCTTTCAACTGAAACTCTACCTAATGGTTCAGATTCCCCGGGTCCATGGGTCCATGGCCGCTTAGCTTAGACAGCCTTGTTAGAGACATGAATGCGGGGTGAGGTTTCCAATTGATTTGTATTCACCGGGACCTCCCCTTATTGGATTTTCTCCACTTTTCTAGTTGGTGTGGAAAGAATGTTGAGCAAATGAGTTTAAGGGGTGGTTTTCTGTTTACTTTTTTTAACCTGCGTCGTCTCTCTTCCAAAACCTCACAATCATCAGTGTCTGAAGTTTCATGATGAATATTGGTTTCACATTTTATTGCTTACGTGAGGAAATATTAATTTGGAACTCGAATTTGTATTTGAGTTATGATGAGGAGTGAGGTAGATTCGCATTGTTGAAGAAAGCGAAGAAAAAGGATGCTGCTATGGCTTGCTTGTGGCTCTTTCTTCTATTGGCTAGTCTCAGGCATGATAGTTTCAATTTCTTTTGGAAAGCAAGTGCGGCTCAGTCATAAGTGTTAGTAATAGCATGAAGTAAGTTGTCGGTAGCCGGCATTAGGTAAAAGGAAAAGCTTCTCAAAAGCATCCAGAAATATCATAGAATGGTGATCGAGATCACCTTCTTGGGAATCATCCTTTGCAAATTGGGGGAAGGGAACCAATCAAGTCACCAAGAAGTTCTTGAAACTTGGTTTAGTATTAAGGTTCTTCTCTTCCAGTGTTTAGTATTCAAGTTCTTCTCTTCCAGCCCCTGGCCCCTCTCTGATAAGTCAAATTTTCAAAACGAAAATAAAATGAAAAATCTTGTTCGATGGCTCTTCTCCACTACCCGCTTTACTACTTTCTATTTTTTCTTATGTATTAAGTTTCCCTTAATATATAATTTGATATTACTTTCAATTTTTATATTTTTATTCCTTTGTCGTTTTATATTCTGCCTAATACCAATTTTCAATCTTTTTAATTCGTGCTTTGTCGGCTCCTCCTTTCTGATCACTCTCCTGCCGGAGATTCAAGACCCCCAGGCTCTAGCTCATTTAGCAGGGCTAAACTTCTATCTGAGTCTTTACGAGCAGGATCCGGGATGGGTTACGTTCATTCAGAACGAGCTTAATCACAATACCCCCCTGGAAGACATACCTGGGCGGCTTAAGCTCTTCCTAATGGAAGAAAAACTCTCTTCTATGCGACAAGATGTCATTCAGGAATTTGTGGTGCTTTATCAAAGAGTAGGGCCTTATCTACCGATCGAGCCCTACTTGGTCGATGAAGCGCTTCGTTCCTATCTGGACCATATTCATGCAACTGATTCTTTCACTGTTCTCCAAGCGTCTTATCAAGATCTGCGGGAGAATGAGGGAGGATCCGTTTTCTTTCGAAATGTTGTTTCCCACAACCGGGATCTCCTTGAGGCGGAAAGCTCCGCAAGGAGGTGCCTGGAAGTGGAACAGAGGATCCGGTGGGAAGAAATGCCCAAGAGCAAGGCAAGTCTCGAAAGAGCTGAGCACGAGCATGCTCTCGACTTGTTTAAGTCGGAGGATCTTAGAAGGGAATTAGAAAAAAAAAGAGCAGGGTAGCTCAGTAATTCTGATTCTTTTCTCTTCCAGCCCCCCGGCCCCTCTTTGATAAGGAAAGTTTTCATTTCTCAAATCAAAAATGACAAATATGGTTCGATGGCTCTTCTCTAGTAACCACAAGGATATTGGGACTCTCTATTTCACCTTCGGTGCCATTGCAGAAGTGATGGGCACATGCTTCTCCGTACTGATTCGTATGGAATTAGCCTGACCCGGCGATCAAATTCTTGGTGGGAATCATCAACTTTATAATGTTTTAATAATGGCTCATGCTTTTTTAATGATGGTTATGCCGGCGATGATAGGTGGATTTGGTAATTGGTTTGTTCCGATTCTGATAGGTGCACCTAACATGGCATTTCCACGATTAAATAATATATCATTCTGGTTGTTGCCACCAAGTCTCTTGCTCCTATTAAGCTCAGCCTTAGTAGAAGTGGGCAGCGGCACTGGGTGGACAGTCTATCCGCCCTTAAGTGGTATTACCAGCCATTCTGGAGGAGCAGTTGATTTAGCAATTTTTAGTCTTCATCTATCAGGTATTTCATCAATTTTAGGTTCTATCAGTTTTATAACAACTATCTTCAACATGCGTGGACCTGGAATGACTATGCATAGATTACCACTTTTTGTGTGGTCCGTTCTAGTGACAGCATTCCTACTTTTATTATCACTTCCGGTACTGGCGGGGGCAATTACAATGTTATTAACCGATCGAAACTTTAATACAACCTTTTTTGATCCTGCAGGAGGGGGAGACCCAATATTATACCAGCATCTCTTTTGGTTCTTCGGTCATCCAGAGGTGTATATTCTCATTCTGCCTGGATTTGGTATTATTAGTCATATCGTATCGACCTTTTCAAGAAAACCGGTCTTTGGGTATCTAGGCATGGTTTATGCCATGATAAGTATAGGTGTTCTTGTATTTCTAGTTTGGGCTCATCATATGTTTACTGTGGGCTTAGACGTTGATACGCGTGCCTACTTCACCGCAGCTACCATGATCATAGCTGTGCCCACAGGAATCAAAATCTTTAGTTGGATCGCTACCATGTGGGGAGGTTCGATACAATACAAAACACCCATGTTATTTGTTGTAGGGTTCATCTTTTTGTTCACCATAGGAGGGCTCACTGGAATAGTTCTAGCAAACTCTGGGCTAGACATTGGTCTACATGATACTTATTATGTGGTTGCACATTTCCATTATGTACTTTCTATGGGAGCCGTTTTTTCTTTATTTGATGGATTTTACTATTGGGTGGGTAAAATCTTTGGTCAGACATATCCTGAAACTTTAGGCCAAATCCATTTTTGGATCACTTTTTTCGGGGTTAATCTGACCTTCTTTCCCATGCATTTCTTAGGGCTTTCGGGTATGTCACGTCGCATTCCAGATTATCCAGATGCTTACGCCAGATGGAATGCTCTGAGTAGTTTCGGTTCTTATATATCCGTAGTTGGGATTCGTCGTTTCTTCGTAGTTGTCGCAATCACTTCAAGCAGTGGAAAGAACCAAAAATGTGCGGAAAGTCCTTGGGCTGTTGAACAGAATCCAACCACACTAGAATGGTTGGTACAAAGCCCTCCGGCCTTTCATACTTTTGGAGAACTTCCTGCGGTAAAAGAGACAAAAAGCTAAAAAAAACCTCTCCTAACTATGAAGGAAGTTTCATAGAGATAGGTGTGGGGAAATAAGTTCTTCATTTGAAGAGTTAGTTGGCTGGCCTACCGGCCCGCAGATTAGGTTGGCTTTTATCGCCAACTGAACTGCGTAACCAAAGCGATTCCTTCTTGGTGGAGATAGGTGGGTCCTGGTCCAACCTAAGTTAGTTCGAACCTGACGGGTCATTCGTTCGTGTGGAGAATCTCTCTCCTTACTCAGGATTTCTTTATCTTCAAGGCGAGGCATATTCATATGTCTAAGAAGGGGGAAGTGTCTCCATTTACGCTCATAGAACCCGGAAAAAAGAATATACCGTCGTTTAAGGACCAAGGATGCGATGTGAGAAGCGTAGGTCGGAGTAGCAGGAGTATGCGACAAGCAGTTGCATGTTTGATGTGGGTCTGTAACGAGATGAATTAGAACACTTGGAATCCTCGCGGATATAGCTGCCACGAGGGCTCTTTCCCACTTAATAGATTCATTCCTTCGTTACGGCGGTTGAGGGTACCTGCCATTCAGAGATGCTATCAGAGTAGGAAAGTTAGCCAAGTTATCCTGCCTAGTTTAGATAAAGCACCCCGATCATACTAGACGCAACCCGATCATTGTATACATAACATAGTGGAATTTGAGTAAATTCTCTCTGCCTTTCCCATTTCCAATTCAAAAACCACTAGGCATAGAAGGAAATCTTTCCCGGTAGAAGGTTCTCAGTAATCAGCAGTGGGAATAAGCCCTTCTGGTCTTTTTCGCCTAAGAAGGTTTTGGAGGAGGAACCTGTGGGAATGGCAGTCCTGCATCGAGATTATTACTTGCTTACCGCTGCACATTTTATCAAGATCAACCTGTGGGAATACCCGTCCCTTCCTTACCAAAGAAAGAAAAAAGGAATGACGCGGTCTGGTTTACAAGTAAGAAAGAAATAGGATAAGGGTAAAGGTGACGTTTTAGCTCTTCGTTCCGCTCTTGGTTTACATGCTTTGTTAACCGGACCAGAAAAGGGGGCATTTTCTGGGTAGGTTTCCCTATTAAGTCAGCACCGGATCAAGATTGGAGACCCACCACAAGCATAGAACAAAAAGCCTAAGAGTGGTGACCAACCATCTGCAAAAGGAGTAACAGAGCAAAGCGGAGAAGAGAAGGAAGCTCTCAGGTTTAGTGATTCATACCTGTCCTGTCTTTTGTTTCCAGGGTTTCGATTTCTGGTCCAGAGCTAGTCTACTTATTTATTTTGTACGAAAACGTAATTTTGCATATTATACGGAATTTGTCATACCAGGTTTTCCTAGAGTTGAGGAATTCTATCCATTCCAGGAAAAGCACTGGTTTGAGAAACTACACTACAGGAAAGTACTAAGGAATAGGAAGCTGCTACTTATACTTATTATTCTTGTCCAAAGATGCCAGGCCGAGACAGAAACCCAACTAGTGAAATAGAACGGATCTCTCTAATAAACCGGGGTTCTTCTCTTCGGGTTGCTGGTATCCTTATATGGATCCGTCTTGTCTCCTCGGCTCGATAAGCTAGCAAAGTCAGTTCGTTGGATTGGTCTGTCCGGTCTGTCAGTCAGGAAAGCACATCAAGTCGGTTAATAGCTCTGGTCCGGTTTCTAACTCGATGAATTGGTATGGTCTGGAGGCCCGGCAATAACAATAGCAGACAGGTCAGTTGTTCAAGTCCGTCTGGTTGATAGGTCAGCTCGATATAGAATCTTGTCTGGTTTCTGAAGTCGGTAAAGTCCAATCAGTAGAGTGCCAGTTAAGTTCCTCAAGTAAGGATCTTTGATTCCTCCAATTTGGTAGGTAATCATAATAGTCTCAGCTCGGAATGCGAAGATACTGCTAATCTGTTAAAGGGATCTAGATCGCATTTATTTGATATGCGTCCCTTCTTCAACCCCGGATGTGTACCTGACGCCAGGGAATAACGTAGTTCTAAAGTAGTGACTCGTGTCTTGGAGGTCGTGCATCCAAATGTTCCTCTTTGCCATTGCCAGCGTCTACTCCTATAACCGAATCAATGGCCTATAGAGCCATGCCATAATGAAATTCTTGATCATTTCTTTGTTCGTAACATGGCGTAGTGTATCACTGGGTGCCACAATCCCATTCAATTCTTGTCCATTCAATACCATGGATATATCGATTTCTATTTTCAAAAAGCTCCTATTTCGATTGATATCTCTAGCAAATATATGCATAGCGTATGTCAAGATAAAGTTAATCAATCCGTATGACGGCAGGAGCGGAGGCAGCTTCAACTCAAGTGAGGAGCAAGCTTACCTCGGGCGGGTAGATTGATCGGCTCGTTCATATCTCAGGATTTTGCTTAGGCCACCCAGGCCATACCATAGAAAAAAGATCTGGTTTCCTTTCCCTCATCAACCTGCCGCTGCCGTTCTTTTATTTCACGAAAGAATCTTTCCGTCCGTATTGAGCAACTCAAATTCCTAGAAAGCCATTGGTGCACCCACCCAGTGAGTAACTACTAATGCAGTGAGTAACTACTAATGTTACGAACAAAGAAACTTTCAAAAGTGGACCCAACAAGCAAAGCAACGGATTGGGCTGCACTGCCTTTCGGCGTTTTAGTTAGGCGCATCCTCTTGAGGGATGAAAATCTGCCATACCACGCTCCGCGCCTTTGAAGGAACATTTGCTCGATGATGGTCCTACCCTACGCGGGCTTACTAACGATGGCCAAGCACGCAGTCATTCCCGTTCTATTTGATAGGGGAAGCAATCTAGTCAAAGAAGAAGGAAGCATGGGTATAGGTAAGTCTAGACATATTGACACGGGCGTATACTGAAATGGGCATAAGGCCGCTAGTGCTAAGGAGACAACACCGCTTCTTTGTTCGTAACTAGGACATGTATTGATGCTAGAGGCAGACTCCTGGCACTTATCACTCCTTAGATGAAGCAAGACAAGAGTGAGTCCGCTAAGGGACAAGTATGACTCAAAAAATGATGGCAGATTTTTATGGAAACAATTATATTTTAGTATATTGTATCATTGGGTTTGTCATTGTCGATAGCTATTCTTGTCGCCATTAGGGCTGGTCGGATGATCCATCACATAAATGCTATTAATGTTGAAACACAAGTAACTGATATATCCAAAGATGTTCTTAAAGAACAAATCATTTATCAATTGGAAATACTCTATAAAGTCTATAGAGATACTACTGAGGGTGTGCACTTACCGGCAGGAGTCAATCTCCAAGAAGTAAGCACACATCTATTTTTTGTAGACGAGAGAGTGAGCCTTCTAAACAGTATCTACTATGGTCTTATTGCAAAGGGAACTGGAAGTGAATACTTTGGCCAAGTTATACAATTTCTTCTGGGATATCTTGTTGTGGGGCTTCCCGAAGGGTCGTTCTGAGAGTGGTCTCTTTTCTTTAAGGTTGCATATATTGTCGGAGAATGGAGGTATCCAGGCCAGGTCTAAAAGTGCCGAGTTGGGTTTGGGACAAGATCAGGAAATAGTGCATCTTATATAGTGGGTGCCAACTTGATTGCTGCTGGGATTTCTTGATAGGAAACTTTGATTGATACGAGCAGATGTGAATGAATTGAAATAGTCAATAGTGGTGATATGATCCCGGTATCTACACTGGGATCTACTTCTACTACCGAGACTGCTGCTACTGTAAAAGCATCAGGAACGTGTCAATTCACTGAATAAAGTGCTCTTTCCATTGATTTATGGATGAAATCATGAAAAAGAGAAGGAACCACTGATTCTGCATCAAAAACAGGGGTTCTGGAGCCAGTTTCTCAAATCGTAAGTAGATCCAATCCAGGGCAGTTGATAAGTGAGGTTCTCCGGTCGAATGCAAATAAGCCAGAGCGTATCTCTTGTTTCGAGGAAGAAACAAACATCCTGGTCTCAATAGATCTTGATTCTATGCATGCGTCAGACACTTCACGAGCCGGAACAAACGAGTGCTTTCAACTCATGAGCCGGAACAAACGAGTGCTTTCAACAATAAGCAATACCCGAGCTTCCTTCTACCAACTAGGATTCCGATACCAATTCCAATCTGGCACAGCACAAGGAAGTAGCGCACCAGAAGAACCAATACGAGAACCCTTCCTTCCAGCCATAATCTGTCTTTCTTGTCCTTTGCATTCAAGGAATGGGATCTGCCTTGTGGAGAAAAAAGCTATTTGTTCGAGTCAAGCAAGCGGACAGTCAGCTAAGAATACTGGAAGAGAACTCTCTGGCCCTGCACTTAAACTAGACTAGAAATCCGAAAAAACACTAGTTTTGGCCCATAGCGAAATAGAGTTTTTCTTCTCCGTGGACTCCCCATGCTTGGCGCCATAGGCTTTAGGACTTTTGGCACTAGGGAATCATACTTTGATCAGATCCGTGGACAGGCTCCCGAGGTCAAATTGGATTCTGGACTTTTCCAGCTAAGTGAAAACGCACTTCACTACTAGCAAAGAAGTCAGCTCAGGGCAGGGCCAGTGGTAATCTCAGATAGGAACTTGCCGGGATCCTTCCATACCTGCCATCCACCACTACTACTGATCGTTTCCCAGAATGAGCCATACCTTTTCCCAGAATGAGAATACGGCTGAGGACGGATAGCGGCGCCTAGCTTTAGTTTCCACACGACACGATGGATCTATCACTCTCTTTAGCCAGGCCATTCTCTAGAGGAGAGTTCCGAGAATGAATTCCAATCTGGTACCAATCGTAGAAATCATATTGTAGAGTTCTTCTCACGCCTAGCACAGCTACAAGCATTCCTCTGCAAGCAGAGACAAGACGGAGGATATCTGATCCCGCGGAACATTTGCTACCAACTACGGATTACCTTGTTTCCATGAAATCCATGTTTATGGCACCTTGGCCCCCTCTACCTACAAAATTCTAATTCCTATTGCTTAAGAATGTACAGCAGAAATAAAGTCTTTGGGTAGATGAGGTCACTGATTAGCCCGCTGAGCTACTCTGTCCC